TTTTGGGCAGGATAGGAAAACTTGAGGCTTTGGGGGGATGGAGAAAGGAGTTGGGAGGTTTGAGCGGTTTTCTGTTGATTTTGATATTTATCTCACTCTGCTTTGTGGAGACAAACTGTATTTACTGTGCAGTTCTCTAAACACGGGAAATGCCTGTCTCATTGCTGAGAGAAGCTTAACCTTCAAACAAAGCTGAAAAATTTGCCTCCAAGGAAGAACCACACATTCTTAAGAACAGATGTACCTAATTCAGGCAAGAAAAGCAATCAAACTGATTTGTGATCAAAGCTATATTTCAATCAGTGTCACACTGATTGAAAAGGTGGCTTTTGACATCAACTGTAAAAGTCACACACATCAAAATGATCAGTTGCAAATTTAGTACCCCAAATTTACCAGTACCAGTTTAGGTACTGAGGAGGTGGGAAAGGCCTCAACTGCTGCAAAACCACTCAAGTTATTAAACCAGTGATAAAACCAGAAATAGTTGTTCTGGCCTTTCCTCTGGAAGGTCAGTACCTCAGTTGATATCATGAGGAGTACAATACTACAATACCAAATGTGCCCTGTATTCCCAGTGCCAGAAAATAGTAAAAGGAAAGGAACTACTCCTCATGCACAGGAAAATCTCCAGAAAAATCCATTAAAAAAAATTCTCTTTGGACAAAAGCTTCAGTAGTAAGTCAAGATTTCCATTTATGCTATCACACTTGTTTACCTTAGTAATTTTTGTCCACATTTATCACATCATCACCTAAATCAACAAATTTGCAATCCAAGTGCTATGTTTTTTCTTATATCTGGAAGACTTTTTGCTTCCAACCCTCTCATTAATGCAACAGAATTAAATTCTGCTATTAAAATCAGTGTTTTGCAATAAACACTAGTAAAAGCAAAACTTCACCTTCCTGCCAAAGCATGTCATATAAATGCAACAGTAAAGAAGCTGGATGCAATTTTGACTGTATTTGCTTAAAGTTTTTAATAGAAAATAATCCATTCTAAAGTTCATAGATGCAGGGGTTTTTTTGCTAAAAATACGAGTAGCAATCCAAATAATTCAGATAGAAATACATTCCATCTAAAAAAATCTTTAAAAACAGAAGTAATACTCACATCTGTACCATATAGGAGGAAGTCACTAGTTAAAGCATGGCACAAAATTCGGTATTTATCATCATCTGCTGGGAAAAGTCGTGTTTCTCGTTCTTCCTGAGCACCCAAATCTTCACTTTCTATCTAAATATAAATAATAGAATGAACTGAAAAACTCCACTGTTAACAATAAGGTATCATAGTGTTGCCTGTATCAAACTGTAAAGAAGTGAGATAAAAAAAAACTTTCATGTGCATCCCTTAAAAACCCAGCATCTGCTTCTGTCAGATTCCCAGAGACCTTTAAAATAAAACTTTTAAACAGCTGACAAGAAAACGTTTTCTTCACCTTTTCTAGACTAGGTTGTATTTCTGAAATCTACAGAAACTCAGCTTTATATTTTAGTTAGCCAGCAAAACAATTCTGAAGAATTTTTAATTTTTATCTCCATTAATTGAAGATCATTCAATTTTATCTCATTTTTAAAATTATATTAACTTGTTCAACTTAGATCAACTCATTAGTTCAGCAATCCAAATTGCCAGAGCTCTTACCATATGCAACTGGACTTTACCCTCAAAGAGAGCAGCAGCATAATCAGAATTAAGGTGCATACTTGCTACAGTCCCCAGGTACTCCACATCTTTAAGCTTTTTTACATCTAAAGGATTCAAACAAAAAAGAAAAGGTAAAAATATTTTGATTTTGTACAGGTCTTCACTTATCATCATTTAAATTTGCAGCTGAGTAAGTAGATGTGAAAAACTCACAACTAAGCAGAGAGGAGACAAGTCACATGTAAATACACTTTCTTCTTAGCAGTCAGAAAACTGGTTAGAAAGTCAAACAGAAACTCCTTCCTTATGCAACTCTGACTAGTATTCTTATAGTTTTGATTAATATATTGTTATTGAAAAAAGGTGATGCTTAGAGAAACATGAAAGCTTTAAATCCACTACCTAAAATTTGGATACAGCATAACCAATTTTTCCTTATCCCACACAAGCAACACGAACATCTACAAAACTCTCTGATCATATAGTTCCTAGGTACTTTGCCAAACTTTGTATTTAAAGACACAGACATAGAATGCTTTAAAAGCCTAAAACTCCTTCATTGGTTAACAAGATGATCTCAAAAAAACAAGAAACAGTCTACGTTTCATGACCAATACCTTGAACATGAAGTTTTAATTGTTATTTACAATGCCTTGTCGTAACTGCTTCAGTCTGCAAAGATCATTATCCCATCCTTACAGCACCATATGGCAATTCAAGTTTATAGTGTACAACGTGGAATGTCCAGAACTGCTAAACACAGTACTGAATTTGTAAAATGAGACAGAGTACTGCATTAATTTTAAGAGAACTGAATTTACGCTTACTATTCTCTCCAAGTGCATAAAACCAAGCCCGATTGTTCATTCCTACAGCCAGATGATAAACACCAATAGCAACAAAACTGGGCTCTACTTCAACAGAGACTGTGACTGGTAGCTCCTGTAAGAAAACAAAACAAAAAAATACAATTTTTATCCACTTTTAATACTTACTTTATTTATATCTACATGAAGTTTAAAAGAAAGATGTTATCATACTCTCTCCACATGATTGGCTACGGTAACTTCTAGAAGAGAAGTAAGGTATGCAATCCGTGTACTGCAAGCATCTCCAAGGATTGGAAGCTTTGTCAAGAAAACATGAAGGGATCCTCTCCGTGTAGATACTGCCAACAACTGTCCATCATCTGTCCAAGCCAGCTGATCTACACCTAAAACATTCACAAGTTTTTGTAAAAAAAAAAAGATCCTTTCTTTAACTACTGAAACCAAGATATAATTATTTTGCTTTAAAATGTGAAAATGGTAGGAATTAATATATAACAATATAGGTACTAATGTATTCAAATATAACCAATTAATATAATTCCAAGATTAATTGGAATCACTCAAACCAAACACAGAATTTACTAATATAGTATTTTCCTGAGAGTGAAGTCTTCACAGAATGGTTTGAGTTGGAAGGGACTTTAAAGACCATCTAGGTACAACCTAATTTCCACTAGACCAGATTGTGTATCTGTTACAAAACTGATCACCTCTCTCCCTGTTTTCCAACACTGACAGTTTATTCAGCACATTCAAAGTGAACCATAATACTGGAAGCAGCTGAGCAGAATTCAATCTTATTTCCATTATCTCCAAATTAGTAAGTACTAAACACAGAAACAGTGTTTGGTCTTCAGCGTCTGGAAATTCCTATTCATATTTTAACTGACTAATACCAATATTCCAAGGAGACAGGGGAAAACATTATGCTGACAATATCCTAAATTTCTGGGAAAAAAATGGAGAAGGAGGGAAGGTTCTTAGAAATAAAATGCTGGAGGCAACCAGCAACTTGCCAATAAATAAAGCATTTACAAATACTACATGAGGAGACAATGCTGGTAACTCATTACTGAAGAAAATAGTTTTGTAACACTGTTCTGGAAGCCACAGACACAAATCCTATATATCAGGATGAAAATAGATAAAGTATCATATGTCAGTACAAGAAATGCTGAAAAGCACAAAAAACCCCCACCAAAAATCATGGAAAGAAGAGGAAACCAGTTAAGTGTATTATTTTAATAATCTCAATATCCTGTATTACAGATTCAAAACCACATGACACTAACTGATCAAATATTCTGAGAGCTGTAATTCTCTATCCTTTGAACAGATAAAATATGCTCCCATTTTGCTACTGGTCACTTAATAATTACAACTTGGGACAGAAGGAATTTTTGATAAATTCTATATTTACACAGTTTTTCCAGCAGCAGTACTTTCAAAAACAGACACCATGAAAATTCCAGTATACTTAATTTGTAAAAATTTCTCTCTTCATGGAGAATGTTAACATACCTTTGTTTTCATCATCCAAGTTGATTATGGCATACATTTCTCTCAGATCTGACAGATCATGGATTTTAATGCTAAAACAAAAATAAACAGTCATTCTCACCCATCTAAATCTCAGTCACCATAAACACAAAATACCTTCCATTTCCTAAAGAGCAACACATGCTCAGTTATCCATCACTCTAAATACCACATCACTATATCACTGTACAAAAATATTTGCTCAGAGAACTAAAATTTGAGGAAAAGACACAAATCCAATTTGAAAGAACTCAGGGTTGGGAAACACAGTTATTCCCTTTTGACCTGTTACAGTACGTTAGTTTAGAAACACATTAGTGATCAACAAATAGTGCTTGAAACACAAGATGAAAAAAAATAGCTTTCAATCCTGCTTCACATAAAAAGGGACAGAGTGAGAGTTTATTTGTGCTGTCATGTCACTCAATGTATGTTAAACATGAAGTTGCACCATGCTTTGCTCATAGTTACACCACTCTTGATGTGCAAGTGCCATAAATCAGCAGTCAGTCCTACACAGAGCTGAGGACAGAGAGAATGGTCTGACTCCTACCACCACTTAGTTTCTCTTTTGCTGAAGAATTCAGGTATCACAGAATCAGGGAGCAGCAGATGAGGCGCTAAAGTAGCTATTCTATCATATGCACAACACATTTTGGAAGAACTCCAGTCTCTTTAATTATTTTTTCCTTAATTGCTTACACTTTGAGAGTTTTGTCTAGATTGGAGGTAAGACCAAACACCAGGGAGGAGGATATCAGGATACAGGATACAAGCATACTCAGTACAGTTTTAAATTGACTGTTCTCCTATCATTAAGCAGATGTTTATGTTCAATCAATAAATCACAGTAAAGAAATTTGGACTTTTTTGTAGTCAATAACATAATAGAAAAAGAAAGAATCAAAAGCAATAATCTATACTAAAGTTTAATTATTTTTTTTGTTTACAATTAATTACAATAAAGTTAATTACAATTGTAGGGATTTTCATCAATATTAGCTTCTAACTCTAGGCAGAGCAGCAGCTCCACAGAGCAATTAATCTCATCTTCTTTCCACTCACTTCTTAAGGAGCCTTGGAGCCTTAGGAAGCACAGCTTTAATGCCTGACAGCTACAGCTGTGGGAGATGCATTCTATTCCTTATGTATAAAACTACCACTTACCAATTGTCTCCACATGATGCAGCTTTGTTTAATGACTGGGATATAGCAATGCTGCTTAGATTATCCTTATGATTGTGAGCTTGAAAGATTTCTTGACCTATCTCACGAATGTGTGTAGAAATGACTACAAAGCACCCTCGTGAGAAACCAATCATAATGTAGCCATCACCATACCTGTTACAAAAAACAACAATTAAGAGATCTATTAATGCAATACACAAAATAATTTTTCTTTCAGACTGCTGGAGTAATTGTCAATGCCTCCCTGTAATAGGAAAAATAAGCAATTTATGGGAATTTATATATGTAATGTAAAACAATATAGTATAAAATAGGTTAAGGGAAAAATTACCAAAGGTTCTTAAAGGACAGAACCATGTTTGTGCCTAGAGTTCACTCATAAGTCATCTTTCCTGCATTTTAAAATGCCACTTTACTTTCAGCATGTTGCAAACATGGCAGTGATGCCAGGAGAAAGATTTCTGGTATCTTCATTGGAATAAGCATGCCAGAAGATGGCAACTTTCCTTTCAAGGTTCTGGCCAATTTGGTCCCATCAAAGCCATGTAAAAACAATAATGCCAGTCACTCTGCCCTTCATCATCATCATCATCATCATCATCATGGCTAGGCTTCGTGAACGAAGATTTGGGAGGGGCTCTACCCACATTTGCTACAGGCGCGCTGGTGTGTATTTGTAAATGGTCTGTTTACTTTCCATAGTGTCAAGTAGAAATAATGAGGTTAAGGCAGAAATAGTTACAGCATGTAAGGATGAATTAAAACAATATCTCATCAGCTTAATAGCAAGAAAAATCACTGCAAGGTATGCAGTTCAGGTATGCCTTGTTATATATGTGGCCACAAATTAAGAAGCATATGACTACAGGTTTTCTTACGGTTATAGTGTAAAGGAATGTCAATTCCACATTAACTGAACAGGTATTAAAAGAGAAGCTGCAATGATTCAAAGACATAGAAACACCAGTTCTTGGTACAGAGTTGAAACTTCTAGCTTAGGTTTTTTTCATAGGAACACTACCAATGGTATTTCACAGCAGGGAGTCTATAAGAACTTTGCACAACTTTGCAAACCAACAAACTAGCTGAAGGACAAAACTCCATCCCTAGTTCTTTCATCATTTACTCATCCAAACAGAAAACAACCCATAAACCCTTCAGTTTAATTTTCTGTCAGGACAGGAACATATTAGTGTTCTAATAGTGTTTTGAGCACACCAACTGTGATTCCATCTGAAAATACTGCTTTTATAGCCATTGAATCATCAGGTAGAACAATTACAAAATTTAGACTACTTTGTGTTTGGAAAAGAATTACTAAAAAGGCTACAAAACATCCAGGAAAAATCCAGTGTGAGCAAGGGAGAGGTGATCTAGTTTCCAGCATTTATCAGAACTACTTGGAAAATACTCAGCTTGTCAGTACCACAATGCTTAATTAAGAAAGTTCTGCTCACCATTTGTAGGCTACAATACTGCCATAAGGCTGCTGAAATTTCAGATCAATCGGGTTATCAGGATCATTCAAATTAAAAAGAAAGAGAGTCTTCTTGCCAACCACTACACTTACCTGCCAATGAATGAAAAGAAAAATTAACTTGGTAAGAATGGCATCACTTTAAAATAAGGCCCTATTTCTTCACTAAAAGAAGAGATTTAGGACTTCAAATAATCCTTAAGAATTCCACGGATCTGAATTCTGAGTCTTTATCAATTCAAGAATTTTCCCTACAGCATTAAGTCAGCTCCATTTCCTCAAAGGAAAAGGAAGCAGGTCACATGGAGGTAGATTACTCTCACTTGAACTACAGTATTTTGCAGTGACTTCTTACTGTGCTTTCCCTGGTTGACATTCTTTCATCAGTCTTCATAACTGAGAACTGCATATCACTGGGATCTGAGCTCACTGAGGTCTGCAAGAAAGAAATTCAGATTGAGAAATCAACAGTTAATGTAGCAAATACTGATGATAAATAACCGCATTATTCCTACCCTTTACAATATAGTGATAAAGACAGACAGATAAAGTTGTCATTGCATTTAGTACCAAAACCAAGAAAAAATGTTGGAGAAAACATGACCTCAGTTTGGATCATAATAACATGTTAGCATAGAATATACTGAAAAATATCTAGGAAACACAGTTATGCAACAGTTAGATACACAAATTCAGACAGAGAAGGAAAGATCTAGATGAGGAAGAAGACTTGCATGATGATATTACACAGACAATACTAACTGAAGCAGTATAAAAAAGGTCACTGTTGCAAATTCAAAGGAAGACCAAGAATAAGGCATACAAGTTAAATATTTACAATGTATTTTAAAATGGGCATACCTGATCTAAGTTTAGCAAGTGATAGCAGTCTAGTTGCTTTTGTAGTCAAAACCTAATAAGCAAGCCTTGCTTAGATCTCTGCCATCTCAGCTACGCTGCTTCTACTCCCTAAGTCAGATAATTTAAAGCACAGGCACACCCTAATAAATTTATTAGGGTATTCTTCTCCAGTTGTGGTCTTCAGACACAACAAAGGAAGCATATGAAATAAACTACAAAAGATCTGTGCTTTGAAAATTTTTAGTGAAAACACTGTTCATTAAAGTAAAAATAATGAATTATAATCATTTGCACATTAGGTAGCAACTGTCATTGCTTGGAAGGACTGTGATGTATGTAAACAAACAGAATTCTTAACTTGAAGATTTGAGTGTACTTGGAGAAAGCATTGGAATCAAAGCTCTCAACAACGCAACAGAGGTCCAGCCTAGGAATAATCCTTGCACATCAGAGCCAAGATCTTTGTTAAACCACTCCAAAGCAAAACCAACACTAAAAGTACTTCCTAAAGATGTTATGAAGAGTCACATCAGAGCTCTTCTACGCTGTTCCTGGGGAAGTCAAAACTAAGGCTGCACTCATAGGATCCTCTTACAACAGATACAAAGGATGAGAGAAGTGTATTTAGGCAGGACCACAACAGAATTGCAAAGACTCTAATATCATAAATCACATTGCATAACACAGAGGCTCAGATTCTTAGATATGCCCTCATCCTACATGAGGTTTCCCAAAGGCTCCTTGTCCTTGAAAGCAGTGGGATTCAAAAGGCATAAGATCCCATAGGCCCCAGCTTTCCTGGGAACAAGGAGTATGCCTTAAAATCAAATGTGGGTTAGAAATACTACCTGTCTTATAGTATCCCCTTCCTGATTGCTTATAGTAATCATTTTGTCTTCACCACCTAGAGCCAGGAGGTTTTCAGTACTCCAACAGCCACAAGTAATCTTCTTAGTGTGTTTACCTTGAAAAATGAACACAACCACAAAAAAAAAAATCTGTGATGGAAATATACTGTTTGGCCACTCACAGATTGTCAGAATGCAAAACAACTTGTCAGAGCAACTACAAATTCAAGAGCCTTTTTTTTTTAAATCTTCTACTCCCAGATGGAAGTCTTTTGACCTTATAGGAAACGCCACAGCCCTTGTTCTTTCATTTCTTTGCACGGAATTTCTGGAGACTGTTATATCCTTAGCCTTTATGCCCAAAGGTACTTCAAGCATGTAAGAAAGAGTAACTTAGCAACAAGAACAACCACACAAATCCTTTGCAGAAAAGATAACGCAAGTTTCCCGTGAGACAGTGTCAGGCATGTATATATATCTATTACTTACTACACTATAAAAACACTCTGCTAAGTAAAACAAACCAGAAGGTGCAAGTTGAGTATATGTACATTTTTTACTAGCATGTACATATAGAGAACTAAAAAGGAATCTAAGCATATTAGCAAAATTACACTTTCACATGAGTAAGATTAGTTTCAAACCAATGCATACCAAGAACTGAAATCTTGCGAGAGGTCTGATGGTTATATATAAGTAAGTTTCCTTTTGTTGTTCCGACAGCAAGTAAAGTTCCAACTCGAGACCATAACAAGAAAGACATTGCATCCCTGAAATAAAGACAATTTTTACTTTTTATTATAAAGATTGCTTTCACGTGCAAACATTTTGCATATTTGTTTTGCAATTCTATGAAATCACACAGACCAAGCAGAATTTTTAAATTAAGCAAATGTTCTCTACAAATATCAGAAATATTTAAGTACATACAAAATAGTAAAAGTATTAAAAAGTTGTATGAGGTGATGTAACATGACTTGTACAAACGGAAATGTGTCTACAAACATCAACAATTTTTGATAGGTAATTTGGCCAAATACACAGCTTTACTCAAAGATTCCATGAAGGTACATGAAACTTTCCCGTCACTTTTTGTATTTTTTTGTACTTCAACTCAAAAGTGAATAGGTCTTGTTCTAGTCACTGCAATAAGGAAGCTAGAAAGATCCATTTTAACTTGAAGTTTCAGCTACAGCAAGGCCTGTTTTGATGTATATTTAAGGCTACACAGATAGTTACTATACATAATGTTAAAAAGAAAAAAGCCTCAAGCAAAAAAAAAATTCAATCAGAATTTTCTAATTAGTGTAGTACCTCCCATCTTTTTAAATTTTACTGTAAGCATGCAATAGCTGTTTGAAACAAATTTTAGATATTGACATGTAAAATGACCTCCAATATATATTTGGTTTGCATATGAGGGATTTTGTTTGTGCTTCTCTAATTTCAGAAAGGGGACGATACAAGAAAAGCCTGATTATCCCACCCTTTATACGTCTTAGTGCTTATTCTGCTTGAACAATAACACTGTGACAAAAGAAGCATTAAGGACTCAAACTGATATATACTTTTCTAGCAAGACTGCCTCCAGTAAGAAATTTACCTCTAATATTAGAGAGAAAGATCATGAAGGAACTGCAATTACTGCATACTCCATTATGCTAAGTACCTTCTACGTTCTTTTTTGCTTGCATACTAGTAAGTTACTCTTCCCCTCAAAGTATTTGTTCACACATGAAAAGGAGGTACAATATGGTCTGTTCATTCACACAGTATAACATGTACATACATCTTAACATAGGACAGATTTGCTTCCACTCTCTTTCTTACAGACAGAATGTTTATGTAGAATGCAAGAATTTGGTGGAATAGATTCAAGGAAGCCAAAAGTTTAATTGTTAAACCAAGCTCATTCATTAACCCAATGTTTGATTGTTATGCAGACCTCAGAAGAGTTTAAAGTCTGTGGCCAAATTCATAAAGGTAAGGCTTCGAACCTTACAGTACAGTCACCTTAGATATCTCCTCCCATCCTAAACCAGTGAATACTGCTTTGTGAATAATGTTTTAGTTCCCTTACAAATCAAAGAGGAAAAAATCCTAGCACTACTGAAATCACTTCCTTACTTTTAAGTTCCCTTTAAGGAATGTGAAATACTAAAGAGAAAGTGTAGCCAGTGAGTTGCTACCACAAAGTGAAACATTGAAGAGAAGCGCTCTAGAGACTTTGGCACTGCTGACACTCAAGAAAGAAACAAAACCCCTATAAACACTAACATCTCCACCCACAATAAACACTTCAAACCAAGCAAATCTTATAAAAAATACTTTAGCAACAAACTGTAGCATATTATTTTAACAGTATATGTACTATGCGGACTCTAGTAAAAAATGATCTTGCAATATATCCTCCACATCAAGAAGTCACAGTGCTCCCAGTATCTAAAAAAAGATGCTAGAAAAACATGTTAAAAAAAATTTCTTACCTCATGCCACTGTCTACTTGGCTTGTTTTGTTTGTGATCGCATCCCACAGAAATATAGCGCTAGATTTGTCTGTGACTATTGCTAAAGTATCTCCATCCTTATCCCAGTCCATAGCAACACAGTTACTGAAGAAAAGAGAAGTCACTAATAATGTTAAAATATGTTTGCAAGAGTACAGAAACAGCCAGAACTATGCAGCTTAACTCCCTGTTCTTCCTTTTTTCTTCCACGCAAACCCACAACAGACTGCAGATTTATCTGTAAACTGTACTTTTATAGCAACCACACCATTACTCAAATCTCATTGAAATGACAGAGGCTAAAAGGAAGGTCATAAAAGAGAGACTGCTACCTTCTAGTAGTTGAACTACTGGCACCTTGATTTTCAAGAGACAGTGAAAATCCCCTGCAAGGTTCTGGTTCATTAGAGGCTATTCAGAGTTGGGATTATTCTTCTCAACAAGCCTAATAAATTTGGACAAGAAATCTATGCAGAAGCAGGAAAAATCTCCACTTGCAAATAGCTCCTATAATGAAGAGGAGAGCAGACTTACCCATAAGTCTCTAGTGAATTGAAAACAGTGTTGTTCACAACATGTATTTAAAGCACATATGCTGCAGACCAAGAACCTATGTCACCTGATGCCACTCTTTCTAGATAAGTAAGTTGAAAGTTTCAGGTTGAAAGGGTAGCTCTATGAAAAATTTCACTCACTACCATTCTAATGAAAACTCCTGCTGCAAGCAGTTTCAAAAGTGTCCTACAGAAATACACACTGCTATAAATGAATTTAGTAAGTCTTCAGTTCCAGGTTCTCCTATCTTTCTTTTTAAAACCTCAGCAGTTTATTCCAGAGAAAGCGTATAGTCTATTCCCTAAATACACTCCTGAATACCTAACAGCCAATCACAACATCGTGAGCAGGAACAAAGACAAAAAAAGAAAAAAATTGGGGAAAATGCAAATTGGTAAGCAGGAAACAAAACAAATTCTATCAACATAATGGTGAGAGGTTTGTAACACCAATAAGTATAGCAGAGAATACTTGACATTCTGAACTCCATTCTTATGTAAGGAGAGGTCCAGCAGTTAATTGCAATTGGTTAACAGTTTAACAACAAATAAACAAGCACAGTTTGGCCTGACAGGAGAACCTGCATGTAAGCACACTTATTTCTGTTTAAACTGCATATCACAAAAATTGAAATTTATTCCAGTAGTAGCAAAGAGAATTTATTCTTCAATCACAGCAAAAGGTTGGAAACAATAATTCAAAAGAACTACCTAGCACAGGTAGAAGATTTCCTGGCAGGCCTCAAAAAGTCAACACTATCCAATCTACTGTAAGCAGACGTTAATTATTTCAAAAAGACTTTAGAAGATGTGGTTATTATACAAGTTTCTTCTACTCTTTGCCTCGCCATGAGAACATAACACTATTATAAAACTGGTTTTGATGTTATATGTTTCCCTCAAGGAAAGGCTCACATCTGTCCATCGATAACGTGGTGCTATCAGTGTCCATCAGTAAGGAAGACACACCTCCACACCACCCTCGCCAACCCACACGACAGCAGAGGATTCCCAGTCCAACACAAGCTCTTCCCAGAGTACACCTCTGATTCCACACAGCTTTCCTCACTTTTGGCAGTCTTCTGGAGCGAATGAGCACTTATCATACATGTTGCAAAATACAGCACAGAATAAGCTCGGCTATCGATATTACTAAGCAAAAGAGACTGACATAGTCAGTCCACATTATGAATGGCTCCTGACCCAAACAGCAAGATGTGATTTACAAGTGAGTCTGGTGAAGACAATGAGAGTTGCATCTCTTGGTTTGGTGCAATGTGTCAACCACTGTGAACTGCAAAAACTGGATTTCTAGACTTCTCGGGGAGCTAAGTGAATCTAGCTCATATCTACCAATGACACAGGGACATGCAAGTGAAGTTCTGGAAATTGAAGTTAGACTCCAGACTAGAGGCTTCAGATTAAAAGCCTTAGTGGGAGTTTCACTTGGACTAAGGGCTCTACTTTAATCAAAATTAATCAGGTTGTTAGAAATAAAAGCAGGCAAAATACTAAGAAGAAATGAGCAGTTCACAAATGAAAACTATTGCTACATCAGGTAGCAATGGTGCCCAATACAAGTGTATTTATTGAGCAAAATGATATGATGACCCAATGTCACACTGTTTTCACCCAGGGAGGTTTCCTCTGGGTCACATCTAGCCTGTTTCTATGGTCTGACTGCCTTTTAAGAACTTCGATGCATCTTCCGAAGTACACAACTTTCTAAATTTCATTTGAAAAAAATCCAGTTTCTACACTCCTACACCACTCGCTGACATGAACCAAAGTATGATAAGCAGGAAAAAAAGGAGACTCACTTCAGGAGTACCCTCTCCATCTAAAGCAAAAATGCCAATGCATACATTATGGTAGTGATATAAACAGAAACACTAAACCAAAAGGGCTTCTTTCCTCAGTAAAGCTACGATAACAAATTGTTAGAAAATTGACAATAGCAAGAATGCAGTCGCAGTCAGCGTGACGAGGATATATTGTATACAACCTCATTATGATCCTTCCCAATATAACGACACAGATTGAGTTTATTACTAATAAGGACTCCTTTGGGTAGGAGAATATATTTTTTTACTATTCTTGATAGCTTACTACGATTTCAGCTTTTACTGCCTCAGACTCCATACATGCTCAGTTTGTTTTCTTTTCCAGGTATGTTCTCCCAAAATATATCTCTTCCTAAAAAGTTCTCACATTGTCCCAGTACCTCACCAGAAGATAAGCATTTTTAAAGAAAAAACCAAAAAACCTAATTTAAACCCATCTTAGTACCTACCCTGGTAGGCTGATTTCATTTCTCTTCTGACCATGACGATCAAAAATTTTCACAGCACGATCACCTCTACAAAAGATTAATATACAGAATAAATCCCTTCTTGATCACTAATTTCTATGGACAAACGCAATAAATACTTGCAATCTTACCCTGTTACAGCAAGGAAATTTCCTAAAGTTTTCTGCCAAGCAAACTGCACAAGGGAACCAGACCAAGCTTTTTCATACAGACTGAATACTTGCTGGGGAAAAAAAAAAAACATTTATGGGAAATTACACATCTTAAAATCATAAGCACGTAACAGTACTACAACTTTCTAACATGTTAGAAACTGAGTACTGTGAAGGTAAAAAAACCTCAAACCAATCCAAACACAATTTCTGCGTGATTCTAATGCACCAAAGTACCAAAATTCCACATAATAAATCTTTTGGTTTGAGTGGAAAAAATTGAAGTTTCTGATACTGGGTGTCTGCATTAAGAACTGTGACCCTATCACAACTAATATTTTTTATCTTAGTTACAGGAATTAAAAAATTGCATGAGACTCTCTTGTTCCAGTTCAAAGACCAGAATGTTAGCAGTTTTCTAAATTTCATGGAGAAGTCTGGGACCAGACAGCATCATTAGTTTGTAAAACACAGAAGCATCAACATTTAATCTTTTAAAGTCAGATAACCATTCTGTTACTCTGAACTGTTGGGTCTGAAAAGCAAAGACCTTAAAGCAACCTACTGTAAAAAAAGATTCTGACTTCCAACTGAGAAAGTTTCTGAACTTCCTTTTCCTTTCACAATACCTATACAGATTTTTCTGTAACCTGGGTGTAAGATAAAGCCCACAACTTTGTTTCACAGCTTGCTATCCTGACTTATACCCCTCCCACATGATCAGACAAACACAAACTTGTGGTGTCCACCCGGTGTCCAAATGTCTGCCAGGCTTGCTCAAGCCTTTGCAAAAGTTTTTTTCCCTTCTTTTGGATGAATGTAAATGGAGGCATTCTTCACACTGAATTTGCATTTTACTCACTAGAAGTGCAAAAAAACAACCACCACATGCCACAAGCACAAATGACATCGGACAGTTATGTCTGATTTGGAAAAAAATTTATAAGAGTCCAGAGGAGGGCCACCAAGGTGACTGGAAGGATGGAGACCCTCTCTTGTGAGGAAAGGCTGAGAGAATTGGGACTGTTCAGCCCGGAGAAGAGAAGGCTGTGGGGTGACGTAATTGTGGCCTTCTAGTACCTGAGGGGAGCCGACAAGAAAGATGGACAGAGACTGTTTACAAGGGCATGCATTGACAGGAAAAGGGGGAATGGCTTCAAACTGAAAGAGTTTTAGATCAGATATTAGGAGGAAGTTGTTTGCTGTGAGTGTGGTGAGGCACTGGAATGGGCTGCCCAGGGAGGTTGTGGATGCGCCTTCCATATAAGTGTCCAAGACCAGGTTGGACGGGGCTTGGAGAAACGTGATCTAGCAAGAGATGTTCCTGCCTATGGCAGGGTGGTTGGAACTAGATGAGCTCTCTTCCAACCTAAGCCATTCCACGAGAAAGAAAACAAATACGGGAGTGCGGGCAAGTACGTCAGGCCCCCCATTTGCTGGCGGTCGGCGCTTCTCGCCGCACCTCCCTCTCTTCCCACCCCCTCCCCTCCAGCCCCGCGGATCGGACCCCCCGACCGCCGCCCGACCCCGCGGCTCCCCGGCCCCCCGGTACGGCGGCCGGACAGACCCACCTTCATCGCGGCCCCCGCGCCCGGCCCAGCACCGGCACCGCGCATGCGCCGCCCGCCCACGGCGCCGCGGTCGCCCTGGAGACGGAGAGGGAGGAGAGGGCAGAGGGGGCGGACAGAGCCCGGCCCGGCCCGGCCCCCTGAGGCCGCGGCCGTCGGGACCGTGTGTGGGCAATACTGAGGGGAAAGTGGGTGTTTCCAGAGCGCGGGCACACAGAGCGGGCTCTAATCTAGGGAGTAAATGCACACACCCAGCAACAAAGCCTCTTGAGATCAGCTGTATTCCAACTGCGAAACGTCCATCGCAATGTCTCACTGATTTCTTTTAAAACAATAAATATTTCGCCGAGAGCGTTAAAATACACGTTTAAAATTACAAATGTACAAAGGACTTTGGGTATCGGACACTTCAAATTTAAAAAAAAAAAACAAAACAACAAAAAAAACCATTCAATGAGTTCACATCTTCCCGTTTTTCACACGCGGTGCTGTTTGGGAAACATAAGAGACAAGGCACAGAAAAGCAAATACAAAAAGGCTTCTCCCGAGAACATTTAGACCATTCAAAGCAATTTGGTGTAACAGCATAGGGCTCGAGAAAGGCAAATTGCAAAGTATCTGAAAAGAACAGGTAATTCTTAAATACAGTAACTAATTTGATACAGTCCTTCGAGGCACACTCATGCTCCTGTAAGATGCTGAACACGCTTAAGTGGTGGCAGTCAAGCATCCTGCAGGATCGGGCCCTTTAAATTTTTAAACAACCTTACAGGAAAGACAGACAATTTCTTCATTTTATAAAATTATACATTTCAAAGTAGTGCAAAGCCTCATGTAAAAATGTATTTAGTCTAGATGTAATGGAATGCTTCAAAAATTCCAAAGTGCAAATATTAAACTTAAATTGGTTAACTGTTAATCACACTTTAGAATTCTTCCAATAACTCACACAAATAGCAAAGTAAATATAAGAATCAAAGTAGAGAAAAAGGTATGATGTTCCGCATCTTGCGTAAAAACTTTGAAAATCCAAAAAGTACACTAGACATCAAAAATATCCGTCAAAAATTATTAAATAGCAGGTTTCTGTTAGCATAATAAGACAACATTTAAAATAAGGCTTTGGTTAAATAAAAAGTTTGCTAAACTAGGAATGATGATGAAAAGTGCAAAAGATTCACCAAATACATAACTTCATTTCCAAGGCAGGCATTATGGCTGCCATTTACAATAGTTTGCATCAGCCTGTGTTGTAATCACTCAGTTACCTATAGCCAAATGTGTTTATTATAGGCAAATTAAATATACGGGGTCCAATCCTATAGTTTCACCCAGATATAGACCCAAATATATCAAAGTATATCCATTTATAGCATCATTCTTCTGCTTGTTTAGGGAAATCAAGGTCCTGGATCTGTAACATTTGATTATTATAGTGAGTTCAATCCTTTTCTTAGCGCTTCCTAAACAGAAGTCCTCTGCTGACAACCGGCAGGTTGCAGCTGATTTTCTTACAAATAGAATTCTTGTAACATATGAGTAACAAAGATAATTTTTTTAAAAGTGCTTAATATTGGTCCATAAGAACAACATGTTCCCATCAGCTTCAGACTGTGCTGTGGTAGGTATCCTGCAGCTGGTGTTGGTGCATTGGTAGTTTGCTTGAGGAAAAAGGAATTGTCTGAGTCTATGCAGGAGAATGTCACCTTCATGGAGACAATAATTTACAGTTTTACAGTCACAACACATGCTCCAGCTCTTCCTAAGCACAGTGGTGCAACCTGTAAATAAAGAAACAAAGCAACCATCCATGAGATAAATGCAGTCAGCTTTAAGTAATTGTCTTCCCCTAATTGTACAGATGCAGTAGAGTGATAATATCACCCATGCTCTGTTAGTGTGACTTACAAATTGGTCCAAACTTGGATACAAACTCACAGAAAAAGTAAAGATATTTTATATAACAGAGTGAAGCACTCTGAAAGCAACAGCAAGTCCCAAGAACATCAAGCAATTCTTATTGATAATTTAAATTATTCAGTATCACAGGAAAAAGAAACCTTTGATATAGTACAAACTGGACACCTGAGCTAGACAGTCTGACAACTGAGTAATGGTTAGCAAAACGATGCATTTGTCACAAACAGAAAATGCCAAAAATGATAGGGGCAACCTCTCCCTTTCACTTGAATATTTGACAAAATCCTGTTAAGAGTTCTTGAAATCAGAATAATTTCCCAGACTTTATTCTTTAATTGTAAACAGAAGTTGCTTCTGGCAAGATCCTTTTCTGCTGAGATTCTACTGGACTTGAACAGAGGACAGCAGTTTCTAACACTCCCCTTGGCTTCCCCTTTTAACCTTCATCATACTGGAGTGCGCGTGAATAGCACACTAAGCAGTACAGAGATCATCCTGAAGACAAAAAAGGCTGTTTATGCCAACTCCCCTATTTATTTTTTTCCCAGGAACTTATCCTGGGCTGTCTGTTACTCTGGCAAACTTCATCTGAGAAAATTCCACAACCCTCTTCTAAGGTGTGTGTGGATTAAAGCAGAGTCAGACTGCTGACATAACAAGACGGAAGGTATGCAAACATTTCTAAAACCCTCTAGGAAGGGTTCAAAACTGTCCTATATACTGGGATCATGGTATTCAGTGAGATATAGAGGGTCAAGGCTAAGGACACATAGGTACATACAGAGGGTCACCACCTAGACATTGTGCGAGATTTATTTAGGTGCAGTGGTGAGAAGCACAGTTTCTGTCCTCTGGTACATTGTTTGTTTTTTCCTTTAGCAGGACAAACAATGCCAGGGTTATCATCACCAGTACCAGTACCAGCGAAGGCCCCGAGCTCTGATGAGCCTCCTTGATGACTTGTGTGTTAAGATCTTGCAGCAGTATGAAGTGGGGGGAAATGGACAGCTGAGTTTTCTGTGTTACAGAGACTTTGCTAGACAGCAATGTAGTTCTCTTTTGAATTAAAAATCTGCGGTTATTACTGGGATAGCATATTCAGGTGGTCAGAATTCAGCTGCCTAAATACTGGTGTCTGATGCTATTTCAGATGACCCTCGACATTCATTCTGGCCTGCAACTGGACTCCAGGAGAGCCTTGGCCTCCCATAGGTTCTGTGCTGTATCTGTCAGGCTCCTGTGGATGTAGATGCCTTAGGGTATCTCAAATGGCATTAGATACCAAAGGACAGCCAGCTCAGGATGTCCTTGTGTGTGCTCTTCCAACAGAGAGGTACATTCCTGGAGCTATATAAAAGTAACTAAGCTTTGAACAGACAGTAATGGTTTCTGATCGTGAACTGAAGAATTATTTTTTTTAAAGCTGCAAAAAGAAAAATGGGAAAAGGCTTTCTGAAGGTTGCACACACTGTACATTGCATTCACACTAGGAAGGTATTATTTATGAAAAGATGACCAAAACCTTGAAGAAATCAATGAACTTGTTGAGAGACATATTAGAGCTAAAACTAATCTACATTTATCATTTATCTTCAGAATGGGAAGTCATGTAAATGGAACCCTTTGTGACAGTTTTGGGAACATGTCAATACATTTTATTAAAACTAGTTGAAATTGTCAAAGAAAATAGCTATACTCTTGCCAAAGAAAGAAGGCAGTTTATTAAAAGTTAACAACTATCTTTTTGAGGTAAGTCATCTCAAGAGGGTACACAAAGGAAAAAAAGAGACACTCAAAACAGACAAGTAAGAAAGTGCTTTTTAGAGAAGGAGTATTTAAATTCTCCTTGTAAAAACAGGCACACTTGAAATAACAAGATTAATAGTAGTGGATGGCCTGATGAGAAACTATACCTGTGTCCATTCATTTGTCTGGGGATCATAAGACTCCACTGTATTAAGGTATGTTTGACCATCATATCCTCCGACAGCATACAACTTGTCACCAAGAAGACATACTCCCACTGCATCTCTGCTAATGCTCATAGAGGCCACAGCAGTCCACATATCCGTTTTGGGATCATATCTAAAAGATAATTTGTGTTAGGCCTAAAATTGTTGCCAAAGCTCAACAGGAAAAATGTACTGGAATTGATGCTGTCAAGGTAGTAGAAAACAGGAGAGTACAGATTTGGGTGTTAATTTCAAAGGACTTTTCCCCCTCAAATTCCCTCCCTTTGAGACTATTTCTTTAGTTGTCTGGTAACACAGTACTACTTAAGTAGTACTTAAGTACTTGTGCTGCTTTCCATGGATAAATACAGACGTACATACGGCTGCTCTTACTACATTTTTCGGGTCTAAACATATAATTGCACAAACAGTTCTGCTGTTACACTGTAGTAGAGCAAGTGCTGGCTTTAAATGATAAATACTGTATGTCAAAGCACAGGCTGTTAAAATTCAGTGTGGTACTTGCCATGAAAGATTATAATTTTCAAAAATATCACCCCCAAAACCCCAAAACAGTTTGAAAAAATTCTGGGTGAGATGCGAAACCCTTAAGATAATTTACAGCACTTTTAAAGTCAGATGCATCAGCACAGTAAATGGCAGATGGTTTAATGAAAAACATTAAATGTGGTTCTAGAACAGTATCAACAGTCCTTACAAGTCAAACTGAGAACGACATAGCAGAGTTCATGATATGCTTAGGTCAAGGAATATATTTTAACTTGACTGAAAGAGATAATGTTAAGATTACAGATGCTTACAGAAGAAGTGGTTTAATCACAGAGCTCTGAAGGGCTCCAAAGAACTATACTAAGAAAATATATATTTGGCTAAGAGGTTGTCTAGATCACACTTGCTAAAAGCAAGTTTGGAGTATACTAGTCTTAATTTTTTTACATGAAGAGCATAGATATAATGAGCTCCAACAATTTTACCTGCTGTTCTCTAATCAAAGTATTACATAATCGTAACATAAAAACACTACCTGAAGCACATATGCAAATAGAAGAGGAGGGTTAGTAAGTTACATCTAGAAATTACTTTTCAATTTATTTTATAATTTATAATCCATTTTATTTATCTCAGAAAAACAACTTTTATTGCAAATATAGTGGTAGACAAA